TTTGTATTAGAGGATTCTTTTTACATTTTGTAAAGAAATAATAGGCAAAAATCTGTAACTAGCAATAATTTAAAAAACACTCAGGAGGAGATGAATAATTTTTATTGTATATGAAAACTGATTGTTTTTGCTTTAAGGGGAGGGTAAAAATGATTAAAATTTTCTTTTTAAACATGTGCCCACACGAAACAAAGAAAATTCCATTATGTTTTCAATCGCGATTTATTTCACCCCGTTCTGTTTTCAGCTCGGGACCGAACGCGTATTTTTTTCTGCATGTTTACAGGCGACAGAGCGAGCGGCTCCTCATAACCGGTAATTGTCTGTCTCCACGGTTGTCCCTGCGTTTTTCAACAGCTATTCAAAGGTGATCCGCCTCACTATAGAACTATATCGGGTGCTACGAACCGGTTGAAAGGACATACAATGACTCGCCTTAGACCAACATTTCCTTCCTTCCGGAGTGGAACTCCACTGACAAATCGAACTCTTAAAACTTACTTCCAAAGACTTTACAAAAAGTGAAGTTGAAATGAGAGTTGACGTTGAATGAGAAAAAATTTGCATGGTGTATATTTTACATTGAAAAAACAAACAAAAACAGATATATATCAAAAAGGACCTACCGAATTCCGTTTAAGTCACCTATTTAGGACTTATGACTAGTCATCACATTGACATGAAATCCTCAGAAAACTTTAACCAGTCTTTGAAGACCGAAATATGTTTTGAACTATCACTATGCAAGACATCACTGCGACCACTTTGGACATAAGGTATGAACTGTGGGGCTGCGCCAAGCTATCAAATAGCCAGCGAAATCCTTCCAACCAAAAACTGGATGGATTATCTAAGAGACGATTTGAGCATATGCCATTTGGTTTAAATGAATTGTAAATGTGTTAGCCATCGTCTTGTAGCTTTCCTTTTTCTTGAATCAAGTATCTAATTTTTGGGGATGCTTATAGGTATTCTTTTAGTACTTTAGTATTTTGTATTATTCCCAACTGCATCTTGTATGATATTAAAATTTTCTACTTCACGATCAGGCTGGTGGTTTGTTTCTAAATTAACGTTTAGCCTGATGGTATTTGCAACTTGAAATACAAAACTTTTACAGTCTACATCTGTCTGACTGACAAACATACTATGTCTTTTCCGTTTTCTGACTAACCCTTTATGTAGTCTTAACATGATTCCGAGAGTGGAGAGAGTTTAGATCGAAATTTGCCTCGACATAAACGAAGTAAGGTGAGACTTTTCTTGATACAAAAAAACCTACCGAATCTGGTATTTTATTATTATCTGTTGGCCAATAAGTTGGCTTACCTGTTTATGATAGTTGCATCTCATCATATCGATCGCCTTTCTTAGTTGTTAATCTTGACACCCACTCGACAGTTTTTGCATCGAACTACTCACCTACAATGTATCTCACTCATAGATTTTTCAGAAAGTTTGTGTAGTTGTCAGATTTAAGGTGGGCAATAAATTGCACCAATTTTGAATTTTTTCTTGAGTGATTTCATAGAAATCATAGTTAGCTGTATCTTTTCGTTTTGTAGGTGTTGTTGTTAGTGGTAGTTGATGTTATCTTTAACTATGACGACTATCACTGGAGGTCATGATTTAATTAAGGAAACAACCCTCCACATAGAAATTATAAATGATGGGGTGAGTGTGGAGTTCAATCCTTTTTAAAAAAGAGGGTTCCTACTCACATTAAGTATGTTACTTAGTGTGAGTAGGAACCATCTTTTTTAAAAAGGATACAACCCTCCACTGTACATAAACAACAAGGTTATCAAATTAGGTACTTAGGAGTAAACCTAGAAAGCAGACTAGAATCGCGACCAAGTAAGAGAAAACTTAACAGATTTGGACAACTACGAGGACTTTTAGTACCGAAATCACAGGTAACATTACTGCGACCAGTTTGGTCATACGCTGTGGAACTATGGAATTCAGCCAACTCAAAATCCAGCGAATTCCTTCAAATGAAAAATCCTCAGGCAAGTTTTACTGTGGCATTAAAAAAACCCTTCAGCATACCTTTTGTAAACGGACTGATTCGATCCTTCCAGAAGTATCTTTCGATCCATAATAACCCTTATTGGGTTGGTTTAATTCTGTTGACTTTCGTCTTATCTAATTCGAAATAAACCTTTTATGCGCGATAGCCCTTCACGGGAGAAAATTTAATATGCGATCCCACCCTACTATTTATGCTGTTGATTGTCCTACACATCCCATGATCATTATTGCCACCGGATGACTCTGCATGTCTTCTAACCTGAATTCAAGTAACCTCAAACATCCAACTCCCCCAATGCAAGTTTTCGATCTATCCTAATCCTACAGCCTAAGCTTAAATTCAATTTCCCATCCATGTCGCGTTAAACGACAATGTCCTCACCCATCAATCCTTCACATTTGTCAAAATGTAATTTGTTGTTTGGTAGGTCTGCACCTTTATTTATTCAATGTTGTTGTTATCCTTTGCTGTTGTTGTCTTCGCACCGAAATTTTTTATTCTTAGTATTGTGTCATTCAATCTTTATTGCTCTCGTTACTTGTTATTTATTTATTGCTTTATGAACTTCTAGTCATGCTAAAAAACGGAATTTGATACTTCATAGGTCCGTACTCTTGCTGAATGTTCCAAAACGAAGAAAAAAAAAAGAAAAAAAATCAATCCTTCATACTTTATCCTCGGATGATGGTTGGTTTCTTTTAACCTGGGTCCTCCGGATATCTATTCTTCTAATGAAAAGTCCTTGGGCACAAGTGAGGCCTCACAAAGACTTAACACACTTTTCATCAACGAAAGTTTTTTTAAAAGTAAATTATAATAAAGAATTATTTTTAAAAATATTGTAAAAGGATCCGATCCTTCCAGAATTTTTACACGAGTCTTTCGACCCATCTTAACCCATACTGGTTTGGTTTAATCTGTTGTCCTCTCATCTAGTTCGAAATAAATTAATCCTTTACGTGCGGCAGCCCTTCATGGAAGAAAATTTAAAATGTGGTCTTATCCTACCATGTATAATGCTGAATGTCCTACACATCCTTACACCACAGGATGGCTCCGCATGTCTTCTAACCTGAATCCATGTAACCTCAATCTAAGCTTTCTATCCATCATAATCCCTTAAATACAATTTTCCATCCTGTGGCCTTAAATTACGACCTCGAGACCTCCTCGCCCCTTAATCCCTCATATTGAGCGGCAGCGGTGTTTTCTCTTAACCTGTGTTGTCCGAGTATCATGCTTCTTCCGATGAAAAGTCCATTTATAATGAATACTTTCCTTCCTATCCCAAGACCATCATTACTTAAAGGTTAAAAGTCTTCCTCTATACAAGACATTTCTGCGATCATTTTGGACATACGGTGTGGAACTGCAGTTCCGCCAAGCAATCCAATCAAAAGTCCTCAAATTTCCAAAGCTCCTTACTACATCAATGAACTCATTTTTTATCAACCGAACTGATCCGATCACACTTCCAAAAGTTCCCATCCAAGCTTTTGATCTATCCTAATCTCATACCGAGTGCATGTGTTGGCCGGTTTTCTTCAATCTGTGTCTTATGGGTACAATGTTGGAATTAATGTGTGATTGAAAAAACAAACCAAAACTTTATTTTTTTTATTGTGAGGTTCGGTTTTCCAATTCATCTCGTTCGTAGTAAAGGGTTAAATTATCCGGAAAAAAACAACAGTGCGGAAAGTTTTTAAAGGCAATCTGGGAGATAGGGAAGAACCCGTGGATTTTCAGTTCAAAAAATCACACAATTGCGATAATAAATCCAATAAAAAAAGTTTTAATTCGACCGTACAGGGTCTAAGAAAAAATGGGTGTTATGGGTTAATGTCCTTCCTAGTTAACAAAAAGAAAGAAAAAAAAAAGCCTTCCGAATTTCGTCTAATTATAGTCTCGCCTGGGCTTAAGTAGAGTTCTTGAGGCTCAAGTTTAAGCCGTTCTTCGGAAGATAATGCTTCCCTCCTTGGGTAGAAATGCCAAAGAGCGTTTACGTGCTGGCGCTCCTTTCTATTGATAGCTAGATCAACTAGTCCGTGATGCCATTAAACCGAGAGCTACTATTCCTTTCTAAACCCGTCCTGCCCGTACTCCGACCCCCCCGACTACCAGAAGACCTTCACTCCTTGCCAACATAATTCATCTCTCTCCAGCTCACGTTTGTTATTCCCGAGTAGGAAAGTTTCAATTTTCGGGCTATTTATTGCTCCCAAAAAAAAGTTATAAAATCGGTTCAACTTCAAAACGTCTTTCTTTTTATTTGTTGAGTGAAAAACCGGCAGCCGATAGGCAAAGAATTTTGATTCATGGAACCTGAATATTCTTCAACAGACAATATCCTTCAACTTGAAATTAAATCGGGTAAGAATATAAAAAACGCATTCGAAGGAGGTGAATATACAGACAAACTGCTGATAAATGGACAACTAGCAGGCCAACTTATAAAACTTAACAATAAATGGATTTTTCAACTATTTCCGAAAAGAATCCTGGAAAAAATAAACAAAGCCGTAACATAAAGAGGTGAATAAGGAGGTAAACTGCTGATGAATGGACAACTAGCAGGCCAACTTATAAAACTTAACAATAAATGGATTTAGCAACTATTTCCGAAAAGAAGCCTGGAAAAAATAAACAAAGCCGTAACATAAAGAGGTGAATAAGGAGNTTGGCACGATAAAAAAAATGTTTTTCTGAAACCTACATCACACCAGACCGCATCTCACGATCTCTGAATAATCATCGATTAACGGTCACTAATCACCATACATTAAATTCAAATATTGTATGTTGTTTTTATACTGATAAAAAATTAAAATATCCGCTAAAATGAGAAATATGTAGCCCAATTATACCTGGTTCTTAACGAAAATCCATCTATAATAGAAAATCAAATTTTCTACCTCTTGTACACGAATTATAAAACTGACGGCATCGTTTACTTTTTTTGTTCCAGGTTTGGTTTCAAAACAAAAGGAGTAAAGAACGAAGATTGAAGCAGCTGACGTCTATGGGACGGGGTCCGTTTTTCGGAGGGACCAGGAAAATGCGCGGCTTCCCGATGAACCTGAGCCCCGGCGGCTTGGAAGAGGGTCCACCCGGATTTCCCTATTTCACCTCCGACGCCGCCAAGTTCGACTTCGGCTACCCACCACCTCAAGGATTCCATCACGAGTTCTTCGGAGGACACCATCCACCACCGCCGCCTTTCAACCCCACAGGTGATTTTTTTATATTTTCTTCTCCCTTGACGCCCTTTGAAGTATTAATTTATGACCCGGGGCAGGCGTTTGTCCAATTCGGTTTAATGATGACAGCGCACGCTATTCTCTTCTAACGGCATTTGTTTTCCGATCCATTAAAGACATTAAGATTTTGTAATTCAGGGAAAATGGAAAAAGCCTGATTCAAATAAGAAGAAAATTTTGTGTTTCAGCCCAAAGGAATTTACAAAATTACCCAAAATCAGACCTTAGTCTTATATGGTCCCCATGGCGTAGCTCTAAGGGATGTCAACATATATGTCATTTCAAACCCAAAGCGTGCACTCTCGTTCATTCCTAAATACATTTTTTCTATTTTCATACATTTTATTAGTGTAGGTTAGTGGAGTAATTTATATTCCTCCAACACCCATTGCACATTCACTCTAAGGGCACGCAAAAGGAAACAAAAAACGATAGTGCTCAAGGGCGATTGCTGCAAGCTTTCTATATGGAGCCAGTCAACTGGCAACTTTCAATAAAATATCAAGCCTTTGACATTCTATGGTAAGAGCTTCGATTTATTTGTCCCGCCACCGAACTTAGGCTAACTTAGACTTAGGTCAACAGCTAAGTTATTTCAACCACAAATCATGCAGTTTGTAAGTCTGGACTATGGTTCATTCTGAAATACATTCTTGTCTATTTACATACCATTTATTCAAGTAGGATGGTAGATTATTGATATTCCTCCATTAACTGGTATTGCACTTTCACTCTAATAAATTCATTCACTCTTAAAATACAAAACGATATTTCTTTTTTTTTAGCTTTGGAGTGTGGTAAAAAGCATCAAGCTTAACGAAGAGCTCTAGATAAAAAATGGAAATGCCCAATAGACCAATACTGGTCGCGGTGCAGAAGTCTTACAGAGGCTCCTATATAATCTAATCTCTAATCTTCACTCTAATAAATTCATTCACTCTTATAAAACAAAAATATATTTCTACCAAGTAAACAATAAAACATCCCTGGTACCTAAATAAAACACTTTGCTGTGCTCAAGCTAGATTCTAATATTTCATTTCTACAGTGCTCTCTATATGGAGCCAATCAACTGGCAACCTTTAATTAAGAATTAAATTCATCTAAATTTTTTTTAGTAAATCACATTATTAAGTTGACACGGTGTATAAAAACGGGTTTTTTCTCATATAAAGGTTTTTGACTAAGGTTTCGCGAACCTGCAGTCGTTTTGGTCATTCACAGACCACTGGAGTAATGACGAAATACGTCTGGCCTGTTAAAGGTGGCCATTCACGATCGCTCCAANGACGTTCCGAGCGACTGGCTGTGGAGCGGTCGTGAATGACCCCTCAAATTTCAGTCACTCCAAATGGAGCTATACGGCTTGGCGCGGTTCCATTTGGAGCGATCGTGAATGGCCACCTTAAAGCAGCGAGGTTAAGCGGACCAGGATAATCGGGAACAATATAATAAAAGTTATATTAGAGTTATTCCCTTACATTATATAACAAATTTGATTGAGTGTCAACACACATAAACAATTGCAAAGTTATGTGAAGCCAAATTGTTTATATTAATTTTTGATCAAAGTCGATAAGGATTCCTTAAATTTACCTTTGTCTGGTTTGGTAAAGCATTTTGTCTCAGCCCTTTTCACTGTCTTTTAACATGTAAGATTTTTTTAATTTACTTTCTGGATCTCTTTGTTCGTTTGGCGAGTTCCGTTGTTGAAAGGAGGAAAAAGTAAAAAAGCAACAGCAATTAATGTCCGACAGAAAACGACTAGCATCAAAACCAAAACTGTTTTCCTTTTTTATCTTCATCTTCTTGCCTCTGGCCTTGAGTCTGTGCTGGTAATTTCGTTGTTCCTTTCAACGGTTTAATAACTCTCTCTCCTCGTAGCGGACTTGTCAAAACAGCACTCCTTCTGTACACGGTCCGGACATTCAGAAACTCAACCCACCCACGCTAAACGGACGGTAAATCTCAATTTATAAGCCGCCTTGGGAAATATTAAAAAACGCCTTTTTAATAAAATTTACACTGAACCTGGGAAAACATCAACTTTTAAGAGGTTTTTGGCCTGAAACGAGGAGTATGTGTTATTATTTTTAAATGGCGGTCATCAGCGTCTCTCACATCGCCTTTCTTGGATTGGATTATGGATTGTGGTTGGAAGGAATTGTTCCATATTACCTCCACTTCCCAGAGAAATCGGCCGTTCATCAATGTACTAACTGACCTAGGTGCCGAGCATGCTTTTTTTACAATTTATTTTCTGCCTAAGTGCATATATTTTAAGGTTATTATATGCCATTCGATTTTTTTTTGTTTTGTTCATGCTACGATAAGATTCTATTAAATGAAACCAGTTGCAAGAAAGTTACAAAAGCTATAAAACAAAAATGTAAACTAAGCTTAAAAACCAATTCTGATTCGTTTTAGGAATACATTACAACCCTTAAATATAAATTTTCGTAAAACATAGACATTTTGTGACTGGATTGGGTTCGGGGAGACTTTTTTCTCTGATGTCCAGCGTTTCTCTTGAAAAATTTTAAAAAACTTTATTTTATCCAGGTTCAACCCCGTTGGAAAGCTGAATTATTTATTATATTGTCAAATTGAGAAAAATAACGATGAAATAAACAAAAACCCTCTTGGATGTTTTCTTTTATATCTTCAGTACTGTATTATTTATGGAGACCCGGTTTATGCTTTTACGTGCAGTTTATAGGCTTCCAAACTCATGTAAAGTTTCCAGAAAATGAGTGGTCATTTGTAAGTTATCATTACTTTTGTGATTTACGGGAAACAAAACGGCAGTTTTTGTAAGGCAAAAATTTGATGCATAAAATATTTTTATGAAAGGAGACCAAAAAAACTGATTCAGGAAAAACTAATTCAGATTCTTTGTAAGAACCCTACAAAACTCTCTGACATGCCAATTTTCATAGAAAACAAAAAATGGGCATTGTTTTATTGGATAAGTTCGAGTTAATTTCCTCCTCCGATGTCCAGTGTTTCAATAAAAAAATTGCCATTGAAAAAATGAAATGTCCTGCTTTCAGTATATATCAACATCTTTTGTATTGTTCGTCATTATAAATGAGAAAAATGATGAAATCGACAAAAAATGCCTCAAACGTTTGATTTGTCCATTATATTTAGTGGTCTATTGACCAAATTACTTCTTTCAATTAATTAATCTTTTTATGTAAGGTTTTGGTTGAAATGAAAAAGCTATTGCCACGAACGGGATTCGACCCCACAACCTTCGGCTAAATATGTCGCTTCTCAACCACTTGGTGTCAGAGTGGATCAAAGTCAGGATAGCTCAAGTGTTCGAGCAGGGGCGTATTTAGCCGAAGGTCGTGGGTTCGAATCCCGCTCGTGACACTAGCTTTTTCATTTCAACCAAAACCTTACATAAAAACGTTTTATTTTATATTTCCGTTCTAATTTATCTACGGAGACAGGTTTATGCCATTATATGTAGTTTATAGGCTTCTTAACTGTTGTAAAGTTTCCAGTAAATCAGTCGAATTGTTTCTAATTTATCATACTTTCGTGATTTTCGAAAAATAACGACCGCTTTTGGAAGGTGAAAATTGGATTTAAAAATATATTTATGAAAGCAGGCCAAATTTTTTTTAAAAATGTATTTTATCCAAATCCAACGTTATGCTGGAAAGCTGGATTATTTATATTTTAGACTCTATCAATAACTTTTATATTTTATGTTAGTATAAGAAAAATAAAAATGTTCAGAGGGTTCTAGATCCCTTCAAAGGTTCCAGTAGAACGGTTAACTTATTCCTGAATTACGGCGGTTTGTTATTTTAAAACAAAACTAATGCATTTGGAAGCAAATAATTTGATTTAAAAAAATTAAAGCAGGCCAAAAAATGGGAAAAAAACAATTCAGATTGTTTTAAAAATTTTGATAGCAAACCACAAATAGACATTGTTTGACTGGATTGAATTCCGGGTTAATTTCGTCCTCCAATGTTTAGCGTTTCACTTAAAAAATTCCTAACTTTTTTGGATTTTATCCAAATTCAATGTTCTGACTACCATTGTTAAGCTGCATTATTTGTCTTTTAGGCTATTTCAACATAATTTATATTTTATTTCATTATAAATGAGAAAAGTAAGGATAAAAATTAACGAAAACCTCTCAGACGGTTTGTTTAACAACTCCAGTTCTAATTTATTCATAGAAGCCAATGTTATGCCATTGTCTGTAGCTAAGAGGGCTCTAAATCGCTGTAAAGCTTTCCGTATATCTGTTGAGTTAATTACGACGATTTGTGTCATTTTCGAAATACAAATCAGGTCATTTAAGGACGAAGGAGAAAAATTGGATATAATTTTTTATTTATTTTTCCAAAAAGTTGTCTTCGGGGGAGGGTTTCAGGGTGAATAGCACGAACTTTGTTTTTTGCGAAAAAAATTTCTAGTCTGCTTTGCTAGATTATACACGTACTATATATCTGCCAGCCTAGTATGTGTATCATAGATGTAGCTTCAAGTCAAACTGGTCCTTTTTAACTTCTAATTAACCTCTTCAATTTCAAATTAACATTGTTTACTTACAAACTAACCCGTTTTAATTGAAAAATCACCCTTTTTAGTTTAAATTTAATTAACTATTAACTTCAAATTAACCCTTTTCAATTAAAAAATGAAAACTTTTAGTTTCAATTTAATCTTTTTTTAACTTCAAATTAACACGGTTTAATTAAAAATCAGCCCTTTTTAGTTTCAAATTAATATTTTTTAATTTCAAATTAACCCTTTTTAATTAAAAAATGAAAACTTTTAGTTTCAATTTAATCTTTTTTTAACTTCAAATTAACACGGATTAATTAAAAATCAGCCCTTTTTAGTTTCAAATTAATATTTTTTAACTTCAAATTAACCCTTTTTAATTAAAAAATGAAAACTTTTAGTTTCAATTTNTTGTACACTTCAAATTAACCCGTTTTAATTGAAAAAATCAACCTTTTTTAGCTTCAAATAAACCCTTTTTTAAAGCATAAAGTTAAATACCTGTATATTTGCACTTTTTTAAAATAAAATAATTTGCAATCTTAGAAGCCTATACATAACTACACGTAATAGCTATAGAACGGTTGTAATAACATTGAATTTAGATTAAATCCAGACAAGTTATGAATTTTTTAAGTGAAACATTGGACGTCGGAGAAAGAAATTAACCCGGAACTCAACCCAGTCAAACCATGCCTATTTTTTGTTTGATGTCAAAATTCATATTTAAGGGTTTTATATGGATCGTAAAATGAATCCGAGTTAAGAATTTTTAAGAAAATGAGAAATAAAATTGCCTCCTTCGTACGAACCCCAGCGAAAAAATGTCTTCTTTTCGATCGCCATGAAAATTCATATTTATTTATTTTTATTTTTTTAAAGACGCCTTACGTTTCCAGGTGGAGGGATGGAAGGTGGCGGCCTAGGTGGAATGACACCCGAATTCGTGAGCGGGGAAGGCGGCGGCCAGGGCGGCGGAGGCGGCTTCATGGGGGGCGGCGGCCAAAACGAACCACAGTCACATCTACTCCCACCGCCTCACAGAGACAGCCCAGAATTCATCACCGGACAAGGTATGACATAGACAAAAAAAAAAACAGATAAAATCTCACAGATTCCAGATCAACGGATTTAATAAATTCCAACTGTCCACGGTCAACCCTGACGCGTGTGTTATGTTTACTTCTTTCCCATTTTACAATAAAAAATGCGATAATTGAGATAAGCGTGAGAAATTGCGGCCTGTTTTAAATTTATTTCTATTAAACATAAAACCGAGTAACCTAACATTACGTATAAAAACCTCACGAAATGCAAACTACATACAAATACGGACAGAGTGGAAAGCATACTCATCCCCCTAGGAAGCCCTTTAGACGACCACGATCCGAGGATAGCGCCAAGATGAAATGTCACAACCTCTGGCCGGCTAGGTGCGATCCTGAGTCCTTTAATAAAGATCCCAGCCATAAGATCATCAGCCACCCCCTGGAGGGTTGGGATGTCTCATTTGACCAGTACCCTCAACCTAAGGTAATTTATTCTCAAACCGCTATCCAACCTCATTGAGCAAAACCGCTTAGGATCTATTCCCGTGGAGGAGGACTTACTTTTCTGGGGGACGGGAGAATCGACTAATTGTTTCAACCTTTTCACTGCGAGCTAATAACTAATGACTATAAACTAATGTTAATGACCATAGCTAGGATAGTGCGCAATCAAAACTAAGCACTTTCCTCAGTCCTTTGATTCTTCAGACAAAACCGGCTCTGAGTCTGCTTTGCCCTTCTTCTTTGGTAGGCAGTTGATGATACTGATGATGGAGAGCGAGGAACCGAATGTTTTATGTTCCCCAAGCACTACAATATATATTATTGTACTTTTCAAAGTTATTTAGTCCAGTTCAATCGACTCGATTTCTCTCTTAAGAAGTCATTGACTGCCAATGCTGCAATTCCCTTCCCTAGGTTTTCTTTTTATCTCAGGTTACATCTCGAGTCGGTTGTAATTAAGAAAGCAATGGTATAGCAGAAACTTCAAATCTTACCTGCTGAAAGCGCGTACCTTTGCCGTCTGTTTTGAAAGATAGATCTATTAGCTTGTCTTATGCCCGGTGATTTTGATCACTGCTTGAATTGTCCTTCTCAAGCCATTTTTAAAGCTGCTTCTAGATGAGGTCTAATGGTTAGAGGGTTACCTCTTTAGCTAATCGGACAGCGTGTTCGTATCTTCTATACCTTCCTGTCCCGGAACTCACGAGTAACCTTGTGTTTTTCTTGCCATAGGACTAGTTTGAAATTCAAAGCATACGCATTTAGTGACTTTATGCCTAATGACGTTGTACGAGGAAGACCAACTTCGGTAATACTCTGGTTTGGGAGTATTGGGTATATGGTTCTTCAATTAATCCAACATATTATTCAGTTGACAAGTTTTCTGATTTATATTTGACCTTCCTTAGGGTACATATTTTCCTTCTATTTAATTGTAGAAAGGCCAGTGCTGACAAAAGGAGTTTGAGATGTTATTCCGTTATCAACTACGGTTATACTCTGGTATGGGAGTATTGGCTATGTGGATCTTAATTAGTCCAACTTCTTGACTGTCCGAAAGTAGTACGTGCGCCTTTCATTTTCTTCTGAATCAATTCACAAAGCTAGACTGCACGGACCTCAAACCTTGTGGTCCAGAGTTAGTTGTTAACGCGATCTTCTCGATCTTTTGAGCCTTCGAGCCATTTTTTATTTTATTTTATTTTATTTTTTTAAATTACAATCTGCAATTATTATTTACAATATGTAATTTGCGGATACATGAACAGCTATATATATGTACAACTATTTACATTGAGGGGAGAAAATAGTCAGTGCTATCCTCCCTCTTCACTTTGTTTTTTGTTTTTTTTTCTTTTTTTACAGTTCACTCGGAAAGGAGGTCGCGGGGCCATTTCCTCTTAAGACGCCTTATGGGGTTGTAGGGATGGGTTCTATCGGACAGGGCTTGGGCAAGACTATTTGGATGGTGGGAAAGTTTTTTGTGAAAATTGGTAAATTTTTGGGGAATAAATTTTTGGATATAAGGAATTTGAAGGTCGTTGTGGAGGGTAGCATTGAAGACATAATAAGGAGCATTTACAATGGATCTGAGGACTTTAGATTGAAAGGATTGGAGGCGTTGGATATTGGAAGGTTTAGCGGTTCCCCACAGTTCTATCCCGTACGTCCAAATTGGTTGTAGTAATGTTTTGTAAATTGTAAGTTTGTTTTTTGTCGATAGTTTAGACTGTCGTCCTATATGTCTGTGCAGTAGACCATACCGTCTGTTTAGGTTTTGTCGTGTCAGTCGTGTATGTTGATTCCACGTTAGTCGTGAATCTAGGTGGAACCCAAGGTAGCGAACGCAGTCGGATTTGGGGATGGGGACGTTATTGTAGTATATAGTGAGAGGAGGTTTGCTTCGGAGTGTAAATGTGACATGGACGCTCTTGCTTTCGTTTATCTTCATTTTCCATTGTCTACACCAATCTGCTATACATGAGATATGTTCCTGCAGATCTTCCGAAGCAACCGCAGGATCGGAATTGGAGGATAATACGGCTGTATCATCGGCGAAGGATGCAAGTAGGGTGGTAGGTTTAGTGGGAGTATCTGCAGTATAAAGGATGAAGAGGATTGGTCCGAGCACACTGCCCTGCGGTACTCCCGCGGCCAGAGAGCAGTATTCGGAGTAATCTGATCCTTGTCGGACCCGAAAGAACCGCTCTGTTAGATAAGAGCGGAGGATTAGGTAAAGAGTATTTGGAAGGACACGCTTTAGTTTGTACAGGAGTCCCCTGTGCCACACGCGGTTAAACCACTCGAGCCATAACGGTCCATATTTTATATCGTCGCTCTCTGCATCTGATCAACCGAATGCACTACCTTTTGCTATTCCATTGTCGTCCCCAACAAGCAACCGTCAGCAGGCGATGCATCAGTCTAAAAATAGCCAGAAGACCAGCCAGTGCACACGAACCTCACATAGCTCAAAATATTTCTCATTAAAATTTTCCATTCTTACTGATTAAGCATGTTAAGTCGCTATGGAATTAATCATATGTTAATAATCCGACTCATATTTTTTCTTTTTTATCTCATTATAAATCATTTGGACGTAATTCGTGTTTCGGGTTCATGTTATAAATTAATAAAAAACAGACTAGTCCGGACCTGTAACCTGAAAGAGGTAGCGATTTTTTAAAAGCTATGTTACAGTTTATATTTCATCACCTGCTCTTAAAAACTAAACATAATAATAAATGCGGTTCAGTTAAAAAAAAAATTATAAAAGTGTTGTTTTACAGTTAAAAATCCAGAAGTTTCAAAATTTTCCAAGTTTTCTACATTTCACATTTGTATCGTTGCTTATTCTAGTTTCTGATTTGAACACTGCGATGGTCAATTGGCAATGATGACGAAATTACTGGTATTTATCACGTCGCAAGCTGTTAGATTTGTGGGAGAAAGTCCGCCGAACACACTGGTATTCTTAACACATTCTTCGGATTTGGGAGTTTCGAGGGTTAAAGGAAAGGAGAGAAAAAAACTCGGAAAACTTCTGCCATTCCATTTTCCTTATTCAATTTTAAAGTGTTCGCAAGTTTGAAATCGTAGACTTCCCCGATTTAGATGACAAACTTGGAAGTTTCGAAGGTTTTGGCCCTCGGTTCGCCCACCCGCGCCAGGCAACTTTTCCTTTTACAATTGGATCTTTTCTCGTAAATATTTACAAATCCGACAGCCCCCGGAAAAATGATTGGAAATTGTCTCGCGCCGACGGCACAACAAAGAGAAATGATAGAACTACTTGGAACGAAAAAACGCTTGGCCAAGTCAGTTTCAAGATTGATACAGTGCTGAGTAAAATTTACACTGAACCAATATGGACTTTAGGACTGATGTGTCCACAGCTGTGTATATTGGAGCCAATATGGGCTTAAGGACTGTGTCCACAGCTATGTATATTGAACCAATATGGTCTTTAGGACTGATGTGCCCACAGCTATGTATATTGAGCCAATATGGGCTTAAGAAGTGTCGACAATGGGCTTAAGGACTATCCACACCTATGTATATTGAGTCAATATGGACTTTAGGACTGCTGTGCCCACAGCTGTGTATATTGGAGCCAATATGGGCATAAGGACTGTGTCCACAGCTATGTATATTGTGAACCAATATAGTCTTTAGGACTGCTGTGCCCACAGCTACGTATATTGAGCCAATATGGGCATAAGGACTGTGTCCACAGCTATGTATATTGTGAACCAATATGGTCTTTAGGACTGCTGTGCCCACAGCTGTGTATATTGGAGCCAATATGGGCTTAACGACTGTGTCCACAGCTATGTATATTGAACCAATATGGTCTTTAGGACTGCTGTGCCCACAGCTACGTATATTGAGCCAATATGGGCTTAAGAAGTGTCGACAATGGGCTTAAGGACTATCCACACCTATGTATATTGAGTCAATATGGACTTTAGGATTGCTGTGCCCACAGCTGTGTATATTGAGCCAATATGGGCTTAAGAACTGTCCACAGCTATGTATATTGAACCAATATGGGCTTAAGGACTGTCCATATCTACACTGAGCCGATATGGTCTTAAAGATTCGTGTGTCCACAATTACACTGAGCCGATATGGGCTTTAGGAATTTCCATATCTACACTGATCCGGTATAGACGTAAGGACTCGTGTGTCCATAACTACACTGAACATTGAGCCAATATTGACTTAAAGATTCGTGTGTCCACAGTTACACAAAGCCAATACGCACTTAAGGACTGCCCACAACTACACTTGCCGATATGGACATACTGACTGGTTATACCACAACCATGGCTGGATTTTCTAAGCAGTAAAGGCAATACTCTCTCTGCTTATTCACGGCTAGTGTTTTTCACACTGATTTTTGTGCAAGAAAAGGTTGAAATTAAACGCGGAAAAATCCACCCACATAACCTGCAACGACGTTAACTTTCCATCAGCGGACGAAGTGCCGAAGTATCTGCATGCAAGGCTGAAACGAC